CGTGGCGCGGCGATGCACGCCGCTCCTCGTCGACGACGGATGCACCGGCGCGGCGCGACACTCGCTCGATTCGATTACGAGCCTCGGAGCGGTGCGCCTTCGAGGACGGATGTTCGTACGCGTCCGTGCGTATGTAAACGGCGGTGAATGATAGCCATTTGCGAGAGTGCCCGATGCAGCCTGACGCGCGCGATGCAGCAGCCCACTTTTGCCTCCTTTAACCGACGAAGAATTAACTTTGACGTCGAGAGCGAACGTCGAGTCTACGTTAATTAAAATCGGAGGAAGATAAATAAAGGGCGATAAAGTCACATTGAGTTTATAATTCGACACGATTCTTATTTCCGCGATGCGATTTTGTCGTTTTCACGCATTCCGGATGTACCTTTTCGGCTTTTTTCGAATTCAATTAAGAGAGGAAATCGGATTCGCTCTGACCGCGAGTTGAATTGAATTCTTTCAAACATTTTTATTTGTTGTTTAATCACGATGTGCGTTTTAACGATGTTGTTTTCGGATTTTTTTCTTTATTCCGGAAAGTATTACTCTCGGACGGACGCTAAGCTTAAGTTGCGGAAAAATGCAGTTTATGCGACTGCACCACTCGTACATCTGCTTGCCTGCGCGCGAAAGAGTTCCTCCTCGTACGCGCGAGTGCGCGCATACCGCGCATACCGTTTCTTCACCTTGGAGGAATACGCGACGACACACCGGGTGTCCGCGATTCCCTTGCGACATTTCCAAGATTAATCTTTGCAAAATATATGTAATGAGGCTCGAAAGAATCTATCGGTGAAAAATGTAAAAAAGAAGCCCATCAGAGCCTGCGTCAGCTATTCGGATTCGCACAAAAATTCTTTATTTTTCGTGTGAATGTTAACAAGGCAAATAAAAAATAATTAATCAAATGCCAATTTGAGCCAACGCTGTTTAGTGTGTATTTTTATACCATTTATTCAAAGTGAGTATTAAACTACGAGTATATGTTTCCTGATTTACGGTCAAGGTCCTCTTCAGTGCAAAAAATATATTAACAAAATTACATAATGATGAAAACAAATGAAATATACGTTTCAATTCGGCTCCTTATCACAATATAAGATATAAATCGAAATTGCATGATTAACGCAAATTCCAAGTTGATGATTCCCGACAATTAGTTCGTTCTTCTTTATCCAAAATGAGAAATTAGCTATGTAATGAATAGTCCAATGATTATCAAAATTATTACATTATACAATAATAATATAAAAGTATATTACATAAAGTAAAACCGAAGTTATATGCATTGCGTCATTACGTAGAATTACATCGCTCATCAAATTGTCAGATTTGCTGTATAGTCATTAGTTCAAAAGAAACACGAAACGAAAATTAGAGAATTATTAAAATCATTTATCTGAATCTTCTATTATATCCACTCACATGTGTAGGCGTTTTCTCTAAATTAATCTCTGCACTGGGAACGATATTATTATAAACTACAATCGTAAGTGAAACATTTTTTTTTAATGAAAAATTAAGATACTCTTAGGAATTACTAAAAGTGATTTATTACTTATGATTACATACATCCCTTGTCTTTTATTTAGAGATATACATAATTTGGATTTTATATACAAATTTATACTATACATTTATGGTATATTATATCTTGAATCGACGAAGAATCCAAATCGGCTCTACGATCACCATCTGATGCGACACGAGATGCGCGATGGGAATTTCTCTAAAATAACAGTAAAGAAAGACCGTAACATTCCGAAAACGTACATTCCGAGTTATCACGGGCGCGTGTCCGCCCGCTAATAGAGCGTGACGCGTCCAAGAGTAAGCGAGAGGGGCGTTCGTAGGTATATTTCTCCGGTATGTGGCGCACATCCTGGATCTATCCTCTCTCGTCGTCCTTAGAAGAAAGCGCGCGAGATACACGCTGGCGGAGCGAATCCAATTAGCGACTACCGCCACGATAATGTACGCCGATTTGATGAAAGCGCTCGCTCATTTCTCGCATCTCACGGTATGCGTGATGTATTATAAAATGGAAACAAGAGAGCAGCGGTATGTCGTTAGAATCCCCGCCCTCTTACCCGAGACATACCTCGGATCTGCTTAACAAGCGCGATAATGAGAATCAAGGTCAGCAGGCGACCCGAATTTTCTTACAGTATGTTACAGTCGTTAAGAAACGTTATATCATCAAAGGAAAAACTGATTTATCTCGAGGTGATACAATTGAAAAAATAAAATTTGCATGATTTTTGGCTGATTTCCCTGATTAAATACTGTCTTGTTATGCCACGCACAAAAAAATAATAGTTATCTTACTTTTGGAGTAGTCAAAAATTAATTCTCTTTGAAGAGAGCACACGTATTATTATAAAATTGATCGAGGAAGATTTCTATTTTACGTAGTAAGCACATCAAATTTGTTTCAATTTAATAATCTTCATTCAGGAATGAAATTCACTAGGAACTTTGATGCTTGGGGACGAATATCTATGACAGATTTGTAGATACATGAAGTTTTTCGAAATATATTTGAAACACGTAATTATTACTTGCGATCAGTATGTATTTTTCTGTATGCGAGCTTAAGATGCGGACAAACACCGGTGAAGGTGATATAACGTTGCAAGCGTAAGCGTCGTAAGCGACGAAAATGCGAGCTCGGAAAGGAGAACCGAAGACTGGGCGAGATGAAGAAAGAATGGGCGAGTAGAGTTCGCGTTAGAACGATGCGCGGGACAGAGGCAGGAAGTGACATCCGGTCGGTCGATCAGTCGGCCGGTCGCCGGTCTGTCTCTCTCTTTCTCTGACCGGATCATACGACATCGTGCATTTCGTCGTTGCTGAGGGCTGCGTCATGCCGTGTGACTGTTCAATGGTCTTACAGCCGAATCATCCCGCTGTCTGATTTTATATCGCTCCGCCGATGTGTCACGAATTCTAACTATACATAGGGTGTCCCGAAGTGCACTTTGGATCATAGATACCGATTTTAGCCGTTCTGAATTGATCTTTTTTTCCACGAACGTATCGAGCCATGTCACGACTTTTCGAGCAATTAATGACGCAGATCTGTTTAAGGAGCAAACTTCCGAGGAATATAAATGAAATAACATTTTTTTTTTTTTTTTTTCGTCAGTTTCATCTAGATCTCTTTTTGATACTTTTTTCTGTTTTAAAGGAGATATAGGTAATGTTGAAAATATAAAAAAAAGTTGTGTGATAAGTGATGGACTGGCGACGTTGATAAATACGCGATTGATATTAGCGTTCCTGAATGCCGTTAGAAAGGTACATCCCGATGAGAATGAAGCATTCGAAGACGAAAAGACTGAAAGCGAGGTAGAGAACGGCTGTTCTTTCTTGTTATCGGAAAGGCGTGACCGCGCGAGGTCACTGATAAACGATAACGGATAGAGTCTTTCTCTCTTCTTCTTATCGACGTGTGCGGGAAACTATGGAGCCGGCGAAACGCGATCGCTTTCTAAAATAGTATGCCGTTTTGTTCGAGAAAATCGATAGACGACTGATGCAATGGTTGCATCGATATTAAAGGTCCGGTCACTGCAGTCGCGATTGACTGTAACGTCAGGAGAGAAAAAAATTGAAAATGAATTGCCTTTTTTTATTAATTATATTTACAATTGTGAATTGATAAGTTCTATAACTGTACATACATTTTTTTTTAATTTTAAATAAAGTTTATACTTAAATCATTAGAATATTTTTATCTAAGCGCTTCAGTTCTTTAATTGAAGGAAAAATTATAGAGAAATTTTGAGTGTTAAGTACTACTTTTTCAGCAGTTCTAGATGAATATCAAGCGTTCCTGTGATTTTTTTGGAAATTGCTTCTTACGTTATTTTACCAACAAAAAATAATACGTTATGTTCATTACATTATTGTTCCTTATAATTGATCATATAAAAACAGCAATAATTTTAAGATCGCTAAATTGAGGATATCTTCCTTTCAGGGTTGATAAAGACTTTGTGTCTTTTATTTAAGAATAAAACGTATTGTATTTTTTCTTAAATATGTGTTTTTGCTTTAAATATGCTTTACACACTATTAAAAAACATATTTAAAACATCAATTAAGCATGTTTTAAATTGTTTAAAACATGTTCTTTACCAACCCTGCTTCCTTTATTCTTAGAGATAAATTAACGTAGCAATGATAATCGATCGATTTATTACGATAAGAGCATATTATTGTCCAACTGTTGAAACTCAAACAAGAGAATTTGCTGATAAAAGCATTGACGTATAATATGTACTTGATACTTGATGATCTTAATGTGAGTTATTTCAAACAACGACATTGCACCAGAATTGATATCATAGATTATGTTTATATTTTCTTTTTTCTTTCAATCGTCAATTGTTGTTAGAAAATCATTTTATTCAAATAACTTCTTCGTTTTAAAAAATAACTATATAAAGATATATATTTTTATGCATAATTCGTGATTGTAAAAAAAAAATACTATATATATAGTATATATATATTTTTTCGGTACTACTAAAATTTACAATTGTATCTGAAACGACTAGAAAAGAATCCCCCATTTAATTGAATTTTTTAAATCCTACACATTTCTTTACTCTGTACTTGTAATAATTCTTCATTACCATAAATACATATTTTATCAAAAAGGTCATATGTATAATTGTTTGCTTAA